CCCCCCCCGCCCGCTGCCGCCCATCCCCCACACCGGCTTCGCCACTCCTCCCCCGGGTTCGATCGCGCGGTCTTGTTTTTGCTTACGCGCCGGGCCGGACAGAATGGGGCCCGCCCGTCCGCGCGCACTAGGAGCGGTTGGGACACACGGCGCCCGCGCCCCTGGTTGGTGTCCGGCCGGGGAACAGCATGTCAAGCCCTGCCCCCCGCTGCCCCACCCAGGGGGGGGGGGGTGCAAACACGGGGTAGCCGTTATCCGTTTCCTGTCCCGGCTGCAGGTTTTGTGAGTCATCTGGTTGTTGGTGTGGTTCTTTTGTGCCTCCCAGTCGGACCGGCGCTGTGGTGTTTTTCGCGGCAATTTCTCTAATTCTGGGGGGGGGGGCGGGGGGCGATGTGGCCCAGGCCGCCGCGCCCTCCTCGAGAGCTTGAGACGCGCACCGGGGCACGCGGCGAGGCGCGTGGCGCGCCGCAACGGCCACCTCCGGCCGGTTGCTCCTGCGACAGTGGAGCCCGATGTGAAACACGGGTGCTGGTTGGCAGCCGAGGCCTGCCCCGCGTGGCGGTGTGCGTGCGTGTGGTATGCATGCCGAGGTCGTGCGTGCATCTGCGGCCCTGCCTCAGCGTTTTTCGCCCCGGCCCCCATGCCTAGAGTACTGTCACACGCCCAGTGGAGGAGACAGGCAGCGTGAGGAGGCGCCCTCCCTCGCCACCGTAGCTTGGGCCTCCCTGTGGAGGGCCTGCCCCAGGCATGCATATACGTATGCATGAATCTGTGTGTCCGTGTGTCTGTGTGTCTGTGGGTGGGTGGGTGTGGCCACCCTTCTCGCCCTCGTCACCATGGGCGGCTGGATGTGATTGCCGCGTCTGCCGGCCACTTTCCCGCCTCCCTCCCCCTCCCGGCCCCCATGCTGGACAGATCCCCACGCCCCTGTGGGTGGACATCCAGTCGGAGAGCGACCAGATCGCTGTGCCCAGAGGCGAAGGGAATAGATGATTTATAAGCCGGCACCCTGGGGCCATGTTCTCCCCCCCAGGTCGGCCTCCCTCCTGCAGCTCTGCTCCCCCACCTCCCCATCCAGGATCTCCCTCTCCACCTCTTCCCTCTCCGCCTCCCCTCCCACGCCTGCCCCCCTGCACCAGTCTTCGCCCCGGCCCCAGGCGGCCGCCGGGGCGGACGATCCTCCGCCCG